ATTTATTTTTGAAAGCAGGCAAGCCATATTGTATAAGCAATCCAACAGCTACACAGCCAACCTATTGCTTCTACAGTGCTTTTGAATGTGCTGATTGCTTCTACAGTGCTCATCAGCCCCCTTATGATAACGTTAATTGGAAAAAAAAGTAAAATGAAGAAACATATTATGAAAATTTTTAAAAAGTGCACAAGGAGGCGCGTACAACTTTCAGTTTATTACCTGTGAGGCTTTTAAAGTATAGACAACTTTGGGTATAGTAGTTTGTCACCCTGTCACAGGTGCACACAGTGTCCACTGGAGGCCGGCCCTCCTATTGCAGTAACCAAGAATAAAGAAGGTTCTACTTTCGAAATGCGTAAGGGTAAAGGAGAACAGAGCACTATAGTATTGTCTGAATTGGTTACACGTGGTTACTGCAATAGGAGAGCCGGTTTCCAGAGGACTGACCTAGAGAGATTACCTGTTCTGATAAGCCTATAATACAGTTCCTACAGTACTTTTAAGTACAGTGATGTTGAGCCAACAATGAATTTTGCATCTTATTAAAGTGTTTTAGACAGAAATGTGTGGTTTAAGTTGAGCCACAAATAAATATTTCAACCCAGCACACTAGCAATTACAAAAAAAAAAGGGAATAATTTGAACTAAAAGATTGTAAATCAGTGTGGCACATGCTTCCATTCCATCATATATTAATTGTAAAATGGGAAAATTCGATACCACAATCTGTGTTCCAGCTCTTTCAAGTGTAAAAATAAAAGTAAAATATTAATCTCAATGGTCATATGTGTACTTCCTGATAAACAGACCTCTTATCCCTCAAATAATCAAATACCAATAAAATATATATATATTAGTGCAGTTGCTGTGAAGACATTGAACCCAGAGTCCCAGTGCTCCAACAGAAAAACATAAAGAGTTAAAAGTCTACTGATGCTTCACCATATAATATTTAAACTTTATCCACTGTAGTTTCACAGTTCAAAACTTTTCTTTATCTGTGCAAAGATGAGACGACTTTACCTTCAATCATGTTACTATATCTCCAACATCATGTAATTTGTGCTTCACCTGTGTATATTATTATTTTTATTATACAGGATTTATATAGCACCAACAGTTTGCTCAGCGCTTTACAATATAGAGAGAGACAATACAGCAACAATACAGTTCAATACAAGAGGATAGGAGGGCCCTGCTCCTTGGAGCTTACAATCTAGGTGAACCTTTTTCCTGACCTATACAGGTCTAGTTTCACTTTATGGTATGGCCAGGTCAGCTTCACTTCCCTGTCAGGTTTTCTACTCTTTCTGCACACCTTTACCGCATTTCCTCAATTTACGGCATTATGTAGGGTAAAAAAACTGTCTTCATAGTGTAATACTGACTTAAAATAATGTATTGTATGAAAGAAAGACACTCACATAAAGTTTACATTCATAGGCGAGTGTAACAACGCATTGTAAAACATCAAACGCTTTCTTTTTCGAAGTTCTGGTTTTGGCTGCGACCAGAAGTGACGTCACCTGGCTCCGTCCAACATGTTGCGTCACAAATCATGTGACTTCCTCAGGGATCAAGGAAGACTGAGACTGTCATATAAAATTTTCATATTTTACTATTAATCTATGATGGAGTGGGAGTATGCGCTGCACTGATTTACAGTCTTTTATTTTGTTTTATGTGGGGAGCATTGGCAGCTTTTTCTGAAGTATAGGTTGGTGCACTTTTTTTTTTATTTTTTTTTTCTAATTTTTTTAATTTGTGTTGGTGAGTGGTAGTGCACAAGTTATCTGCATATAATTTTTAATAATTGGAACTATTTACTGACCTAGGTCCTATTACAATTTTGTAGGGAGACTTTGAAATGGGCATGTCATGCAAGGAAACCCACGAAGGTCTTGCAACTGTATAAATTTTGAATGGGGAAGTGGTAAAATATTTCAGTAAGTTAATATCAAAAGGCCGATAAGAAGTTATGTAAAACACTTACAAGAAGTAGTTTCTGCTAAAGGGGCCAAAACCTGCTTTTGAGGCCAAGGGTGTAATTTTTTTTCTCCCCACAGTACACTATAGCATCTATTGATATTTTTGACAAATTGTTTAAAAGGTAAATTTCTATGGGGTGTACTTATATTATTCATATGGCTGTTGGTGCTTTCTACAGGTGAAACTCGAAAAATTAGAATATCATGCAAACGTTCATTTATTTCAGTAATGCAACTTAAAAGTTTATTAGTTTCACTAATATATGAGATACTCATTACATGCAAAGCAAGATAGTTCAAGCCGTGATTTGTAATAATTGTGATGATTATGGCTTACAGCTCATGAAAACCCCAAATCCACAATCTCAGAAAATTAGAATATTACATGCAATCAATAAAACAAGGATTGTAAATAGAACAATATCGGACCTCTGAAAAGTATAAGCATGCATATGTACTCAGTACTTGGTTTGGGCCCCTTTTGCAGCAATTACTGCCTCAATGCGGCGTGGCATGGAAGCTATCAGCCTGTGGCACTGCTGAGGTGTTATGGAAGACCAGGATGCTTCAATAGCGGCCTTCAGCTCTTCGGCATTGTTCGGTCTCATGTCTCTCATCTTTCTCTTGGCAATGCCCCATAGATTCTCTATGGGGTTCAGGTCAGGCGAGTTTGCTGGCCAATGAAGCACAGTAATCTCACGGTCATTGAACCAGATTTTGGTGTTTTTGGCAGTGTGGGCAGGTGCCAAGTCCTGCTGGAAAATGAAGTCAGCATCCCCATAAAGCTCATCTGCTGGTAGATGGCTGCGTTGACCCTGGACTTAATGAAGCACAGTGGACCAACACCAGCAGATGACATGGCTCCCCAAATCAACACAGACTGTGGAAACTTCGCACTGGGCTTCAAGCATCTTGCAGTGTGTGCCTCTCCATTCTTCCTCCATATTCTGGGTCCTTGGTTTCCAAATGAGATGCAAAGGTTGCTCTCATCAGAAAAGAGGACTTTGGACCACTGAGCAACAGACCAGGTCTGTTTTTCTTTAGCCCAGGTAAGACGCTTCTGACGTTGTTTGTTGTTTAGGAGCGGCTTGAAAAGAGGAATACGACATTTGAAGCCCATGTCCAGGATCTGTCTGTGTGTGGTGGCTCTTGATGCACTGACTCCAGCCTCAGTCCACTCCTTGTGAAAGTCCCCAATGACTTTTGAATGGCCTTTTCCTGACAATCCTCTCCAGGCTGCGGTCATCCCTGCTGCTTGTGCACCTTTTTCTTCCACACTTTTCCCTTCTACATAACTTTCTATTAATGTGCTTTGATACAGCACTTTGGGAACATCCAACTTCTTTTACAATTGCTTTTTGAGGCTTTCCCTCCTTATGGAGGGTGTCAATGATGGTTTTCTGAACAACTGTCAGGTCAGCAGTCTTTCCCATGATTGTGATTCCTACTGAACCAGACTAAGAGACCATTTAAAGGCTCAGGGACCCTTTGCAGGTGTTATGGCTTAATTAGCTGATTAGAGTGGGACACTTAATTTTCTGAGATTGTGGATTTGGGGTTTTCATGAGCTGTAAGCCATATTCATCACAATTATGACAAATCATGGCTTGAACTATCTTGCTTTGCATGTAATGAGTCTATCTCATATATTCGTTTCACCTTTTAAGTTGCATTACTGAAATAAATGAACTTTTGCACGATATTCTAATTTTTCGAGTTTCACCTGTATATTTAACTAGAATCATGGTAGCTGGTCCAGACTTCTGCCTTTTATGATCAAATGAATAAAATAATTTTATAAAGAAAAAAAGGCATAAGGGACTAACCATCAAGGCCAGAGGGAGTGTCATTCTCCCATTGAAGAATACAGTTAATTACTAGAACAGTATATTTACTATAATTTTATAGTAGAATCTGAATACCTGGCAGTGCAAGGAAACAGTGGTGATATTAGGATACCTGTATATGGAGACATTTGTAAAATTGTATCACAAATTTATTCTGTACATGTGCTGTTGCTGCTGCATTTTAATATATGTATGTTATTTTTAATCTGTATCTATTAATCGCGTATTCTATATTTTTATACAAGTTCGATCTTTATTGCATTTTTAAAAGTCCCATTTACTTGTTCTTGTTTTGGTTATTTGATTAAAATAATTACATGGAGTTTTCGAAAGTTGAAGGTGAAAGAAAATTTAAAATTGTATCCTAAAACTTTATATTCATGCATTACAGTTTACTTTGCATTCCCATAAGGCAACAGCAGTTTGTACATTGGGCTTGCTGTTAGGAAAGTAATAACATTAAGTCTGCAATCACACCGGAGCAACTTGGAAATGTACGTTCCGCTTGTGCCCCAAACATGAGTAGTAGTTGCACAGCTTCTGCATGACAAAATGTGTGAAAAACTTGTGTTGCCTAATGCACTTGGCTAAGTGCCAAAAATTATACTTGAGCTGTTTTGGTGCACAGGCAGTCTGTTCTTGTCAGTGGGCTTTTATGCGACTAATGCACATGATGCGAAAAGCGAAGCATAGCTAAGGTGTGAATGCAGCCAAAAGTGGAAGCCCAGCCAAGCATGGGGGAGTTTTATAACCCATGTTTTTTTTTTTTTATATTGCTATCTCAGGTTCCTTTTGAAATATTTCTTTCTGTACTGGTGAGTCTGATTTCAACAGGCAAGAAGTTAGTGCAAATCTTCAACAAGGACATTGACTTTACGTAAAAGCTAACAAGGGGTTTACCCTACCCTACTTTTTTTTTTAAACATCTTTATATCTGTGTTTCTGTAGCAGGTTTCCTCTCATTTCATGTTTGGTAAAAACAGTTTTCACTGGGAGAATACATAAGGAAAAACTTCTCTAACAGAACCACGGATAGCAGTAAAAACACTTCAGGGTTTCTTATGCTTTCCTATTCTATCCAAAACTAAAAAGGTTAGATTTAACATTGCATTAGAGATTCAAAATGAAACTTTTAACATGTTTCCTACCCCCTTCCCCCCAGTGCTAACAGGAGGAAATCTCACTTTATCTGAGGAGTTTTCTCAGGTTTATGCTTTGGCCGATGGCATTAGAATATGGATGGTAAGTGTTTTTCTATTATTTTTTGCTATAGTATCACATTTAATGCAACTATCTAGCAGCACCTTTGTAATCGTAACCATTTTACATTGGTCTTGTATTGTGTTCCCTGCAGCTTGAAATGAAGCAGAAGTGCTTGCATACAGGTGGAAATGATAAACTTGTGGTTGATGGAGCAGAAATGAATCCAGACATGCTGGGTGAGCAATGCAGAAGCATTACTTTACTGATAACAAATGGTTTTATACTACGTAATATTCTATATAAATTTGTAACGAATAGAGCACACTTTATTCTGCTCATGGAACATTGTATGTCGCTAAATGCCATATATTCAAATTATTGTCATTTTAAAAACTAAATGTTGTCAAATAAGGAAGTTAATGAGGGATACAGAAATTCAGAAACATTTGGGTTATACTACCACCTACAGGAGGAACAAAAACAAACAGAGGGCTCACCGGCCTAGTGCATTACCCTAAAAAATGTATTTAATGATAAAAGTAGGTATTGTACTCACAAAAAGACAATACAGTCAAAGGCACATCATGAAAGAACAACTCTGTCCAATCCGCACTATGTGTCTGTTAGCATTGTGGACTTCCAACAGGCTAACGCGTTTTGAGGACGTGTCTTTTCCTCAGAGCCCCTGAGGAAGAGTAGCAAAAAGAGGCCTGGTCATTAAGGGGGGTAAATCCTCAGGAGGGCAAGTGGTTAAGGTAATGCACTAGGCCGGTGCACCCTCTGTTTGTTTTTTTTTTTTTTCAGTACATTTGGACTTCCCCAGTCTATTGAGGGCAGCAAGGTGTGCAGGACATTCGTGATGAGGTCCTAATCTATACTGTGTCCATCCCTAAGCGCAGGAGTGTTTGGGTTTGCTGTTTCACCACCTACAGGAGGTTGGGACACTGCTAAAGAGAATAGTTGTAAGCTACATTACCTATATTATCCCTCCACTACCCAGCATTCCTCAGTTTACTGGTGTCCTGGGAGGTTGGATGCCTTTTTCTTACACTGTCCATCATTCAGTTAAGTTTCCTTGCTATACTGCTTGAGCTGGGTTGCCAGGGTCTATCTGTATTGGTGTTTCTCAGCAATAGCTTTTGAGGCTATACCCAAATCTCGCTGCGCAATGTGGTGAGGCTAACCTGGAGTGTGACCTTCAGGCACCCAGCTTTGCATAGTGAATCCAATTAGTGGAGTGCTGTATGTGTGTGCTCTGCACAGTCTTTGTCTATTCAGCCTGCAGTCTAGAGCCTCCATGTCTACGTTGGAGTTTCTTTCTGTTTGTTCCCAGTGACTGCAGCAGTCCACCCGTACTCACAGTGGCTGTAAGGTAATAAAACAGTCCACAATGTCCGGTGTCTAACTTGTGTATCAATAGCCCACACACACAATGAAAAACTGCATGCTCCTGTGCCGGTGCAGGTGGTGAGTATTGCTCCTATATGGCAGGCATGCCCGCTCACCTTCCCCCTGCGACCCAGAGGGGCCAAAAAGCCTTATGGATCACCCAGGATCCTACACGATCTCTCCACACAAGGATAGGCTCCACCACCTTCAGTAAGCTTTCCTCCACCTTCCACTATTCCTCCATGGCCAGGTAGTAGTATGAACGCTCATAAATAGACATGATGTTTGGGAATCATACAATAGAAACCCAGAGATCCTTCATAGGTGTGACACAGTATGTAAAGCTTTAATATAAAGAAAACCGCCAAGCACGAACTCACATTTCAGCTGCAGTACAAAATGCCTGTGTCACCTCACATGGGTGTACTAAGAACTCTCTGGTGTACCAAGATGACGCTGGAACGGAAATACGTCATACGTCACCACGTCTACGCGTTACGCCACGCCCCTCGTGCTTCATCAGGATAGCGTTGTGGTGATTTGTCTGGTATTTATAGGGGGATCTGGATGCTGATTGGCTTATTATATATGCTAATTATTGCGGCCATTTTGTTGAAGTCCCAATAATCTGGTACACTTTTCCACCGCCATTTTCTTGCTGTTTTTCCCTATTCATATGGTTTACTGTATTAAACCTTGCGGCCATTTCCTTGTAGTTTTTCTGGGAAAGTATATACAGCGACCATTTTTTCATAGCTCCGATTTGTATATATTGTATTACTGTACACCGCCAAAGGACCACCTTTTAAGTGTGCTTTTATTTTAGTCGCACCTAGAGTCCTGCTTCTGTAGGTGGTGACATCAATACCATCTGTAATGAAGAATGACTGTCCTTCAATGAACGGAAAAGAAAAATCTTTATCTTTGAGTCCTTTGAGGGACATGGCACCCACCCCTCTATTTTATGACCCTATGTATTGCTTTCTCACAAAACCGAGACATGAATAGAGAATGGATTATCCCCTGACTGGCTTATAACTCTTCAGTTTCCCAGATTCCTGCAAACAGCAGTATAATCCAACAAAATTCCATTGTTTCTCAGTGGCAAAAGAGTTCACAAAAGTACACAAATCACATTTTATGGGTTACAGACTTCTGTGTATTGCATTTTCCTTCAAGTATCTCCCTGCTGGGGAGATTCTCCCTTTCCATTTATCTTGGTTAACAGGACAGAAGGTGAAATGGAAATCAAATTTTTACAATTGATAAAGGGATACCACATGTGAGAGACTTTTTGGCAGGCTAGCTATATACAAGCCCCCAACATGACCACCTCTAGCCTTTCAAAGGGCATATTTCCTCATATCACTTCCCCACTACCTATCACAGTTTCGGAGGCTCTAAAATGACAGGATAGTACAAACACCCTCTCCAATGACTCCTTTTTGGAAAGTAGACACCCCAAGGAATTTGATAAGAGGCATGGTGAGTATTTTACAGATATAATTTTTGTCACAGGGTTTTGAAAAAGAAAAGAAAAAATACATTTTTTGTTTTCTTTCTTAATTTTCCAAAAACGTGGCAATACATTAGATCTGCAAAACACTCACATTGCCTTGGAGTGTCTACTTTCCAAAAAGGGGTCATTTGCAGGGGTTGCTTCTACTATCCTGGCATTTCAGGGCCAACATTAGAAGCTTACAGTGAAGAAAATAAGTATTTGATCCCCTGCTTATTTTGAATGTTTGCCCACTCACAAAGGAATGATCAGTCTAAAAATTGAATGGTGGGTGTATTGTAATACTAAGAGACAGAATAGCAACAAAAAATTGAAAAGAAATGCATGTCTAACAAATTATGCACTGATTTGCATGTTCATGAGGGAAATAAGTATTCGATCCCCTTCACAAAACATGACTTAATACTTGGTGGCAAATCCCTTGTTGGCAATCACAGAGGTCAGATGTTTCCTGTAGCTGGCCACCAGGTTTGCACACATCTCAGGAGGGATTTTGGTCCACTCTTGGCAGATCCTCTCCAAGTCTTTAAGGCTTTGTGGCTGACGTTTGGCAACTCGAACTTTCAGCTCCCTCCACAGATTTTCAATCGGATTAAGGTCTAGAGACTGGCTAGGCCACTCCAGGACCTTAATGTGCTTCTTCTTGAGCCACACCTTTGTTGCCTTGGCCATGTGTTTTGTACGTACATTTTCATTCGCGATAAGCGACGCTTTAAAAGCTTTTACAGGTCACTAATTTATATTTACACAGGAGGTCTAGTGCTAGAATTTTTGCCCTCGATCTGACATTTGCGGTGATACCTCACATGCATGGTGCAACCACTGTTTACATACTGGCATGGTGTCAAGGCTGGCGCATGCAGGTGCACGCGCGCAGGGGGGCAAGGGTGTTTTTTTTTTTTTTTTTTCTTTAGTTATTTTGATTCTTTTAATTATTTTTACACTGTCCTTTTCATTATTATTTTAATCACTTTTAATGCTATCACAGGGGATGCAAATATCCCCTATAACTTCAATGGGCATTGTCATAGATTCTTTTTGAGAAATCTGGGGTCTATCAGACTTTAGATATCTCCTCTGCCCTTACATTATCTAATCTCAACAAGATCGGTGTGATCAGAAGCCTTCCCAGTTTACAAATGGTGCTTTTTATATCCTGCGAAACTGAAGTGATGAAATTCTCATAGCTTCTGATTTCTTAGACTATAGAGATGATTGGAGCCATTCTGATCTCTGACCAGCTCTATGGTCAGCCAGCGGAACTTCCGGCTGCATTTTCGGATTTCCCTGTGGGACAGGAGAGCCCAAGAAAACTGTGGAAGGCAGCAGGAGGGGGATGTCCCTTCTCACTGCTCGTAAAAACAATTCAGCAGCTAATTGGCCACTAAAATTGTTTTTACATGAAAGCTGACCACCAACTGAAAAAAACGATACTAGGATGATACCTGTAGCTGCAGACATCATCCCGGTATAACCACTCAGAAAGTCCAGCGATGTACCAGTACATTGCTGGTCCATGTTGGGCATATATGTAACAGCAGAGAACATAGGCATAGGATAAATTGGCTCTGTGGATCAACATGACCGCAATTCATTCTTTTCTGTAATGCCCATGTTGAGGGTTAGGCCCAAAAGAGTTTTAAATTCAGAAACCGTGATAGATTTCCATGCGAATTGTCTGAATATGGGTGGGCGGCCATGTATTGTTGTGTGTATAAATTGCCTTGGCCCACAGTCAATTGACACAAATCTTCTGTGAAAAACAGTGAAGGGTCTAAACACAAATTTGGCAGCGAACGGGGCCAATCCTGCTAACACTGCGTTTTTGTGGACACTATACAAAGGAGGCACTAGTATAGTTCTGTTCATGATCAATATATTGATCCGTACAAACACTAAACGGCGGTGATCAGCGACCTATATCGTGAGTGTGATAGTGTGCTAGCTGACCCTGGCTGGGAGGGAGGCTTACTGACCCTGACACTATCTGATGTCGCTATTGGCAAGAATACAGCGATCAGTGAAAAATTCTATATACTGACACTTTACTAATGGCACTGGCTGGGTGACGGGGTGATCAAAGGGTTAATAGGGGCGATCAAAGGGTTAAATGTGCTAATCTAACGCATGCGTGTAAAATATAGTGGTGCTTTTACTCGGTGCCGAGTTCTCTCTTCTCTCCCTGGACTGATGGGGGGGGGCATTGGGGGGGCACAGGTGCGTTAACACCCCAAAATAGGAAGCGACACATAATTGCGTCGCTTTGCCAAGAGCTGCTGCTCACCCACAAAATGTTGGCAAGTAGTTTAAAAAAAAAAAAGAACTGTTAAAAATTAAAGAAAAAAATTCTCAATATGGTATTTTTTTTTAATTTTTTTTATTATTATTATTCTTTAAATACTTTTATGAGAATAGTACAATGTTAGCATAGTAACATTGTACTACTGTGTGTGTGTGCGTGAGATCAGGGATTTTCTTTTTTTTTTACACTTCGCTTTGCAGGAGAAATAAAGATCATTTCCCCTGCAATGCAAAGCTTGCTGTCAGAACTTAACTCATTCATGAAAACTGTCATGAATGAGTTACGTTTTGACAGCTCAGGATAGTGATCTGTGTTTGGCTGGAGCTGATCACATGGTACAGGGTGCTGTGATTGGCCCCATGTATTATGTGACAGCTGTGGGCCAATCACAGCTTACTAGGAAGAGAAGCAGAGCTGTTATGAATGCTTATAGTCTGCATAAACTCTCGGGAACCAGGGTACAACATATCTCTATAAATTATCCTTGGAACATGCCTCCTTAGACACAGGAGAAAGTATTTCCGTCCAGAAAATACCTAGGCCCATGCAGCAGAAGTCCATGAGAAAAAACAGGAGAACTGTAACATATAGAAGTCTGTCAATAATTCTCAACTTTGCAAGGTACAGCACCAGATTAACCTCTCTGGAGGCTTTTCACCTGTATGAAACGTGGACGTTTTTGTGTAGCATCTGGGAAGTCAGGTTAGATTGATGCGATTTCCATTATGTAGGAGCTTTTGGCACTGCTGTTGCAACTTTGAGGATATATCTTTAACTCCGAAAATGCAGTATTCAGGCTCTCAGAGATTTTGGAGGTGCTGCTGTGGGTGAGGGTCTTATAGGAATGTGATGAGCTCTCTCTATGGCAAGCAGGCCTGAAACCACATAATCCCCTTAAACCATTGCTCCTAGAAATCCTGTGGTTGTTTACACTCCTCACCTTCTGTGAAACCTAGCAAACTAATATTATTCCCTCTGAGGCAGACCTTCATGTCTCCCAATTTATTCTTCTACTCTTTTAGTTCTTTATAGGCATTCCTCACAATTCCTTCTAAAGGTTGTACAGTGTCTTCCAAATCACTATATGTTCAGCAAGTGTTGCTCTCTCCTTCATATTCTGCATATCCTATTTGAGGAATAAGAGATCCAATCTATGTTCTGTCAGAGTAATCTAACATTGATGTATGGCTGCCAGTATTACTGTTAATGAAGGGTTTCCTTCCTCCACAACCTGACTATCCACTCCTGTATTATCAGCATTTGACAATTCCAGAGGCTTACCCCAAGGTAGCAATCTTTCCATCTGAGGTAGCAGGCATGAATGTGGAAAATGATTCTCCCCCTCTGTGGCCTGATGCTGCTGGATTTCCTCATTCGCTCTTCGGGGTTCTGAGAAATTTTCACCTTGCTTAGGATTGCTGGCAAACTTAACCAGACAATCTCCTGGTTCCTAACAGCCCCTTTCTGATTTTAACCATGGTGCAATCCTCTGCATTGTGTAAAAAGGCTGTTGATCCTGACTTCTCCGCCCCTCCTCTTGTTCAAATGTCCAAGCTGATAAACAGACTAAACCATAGCCCTTCTGCACATGCTTAGTGTAGTGTGTTTTGCTAGAGAGGATTTTTTTTTCTTGGGAGAGTGCATGTGATCAGCACAGGGCCAATCAACACTGTCTAGATAGAGGTCACGGGTTTTGCATCCTCCTAGAGCAGAAAGAAAACTGCTCCTACAAGCTTTAACCAGTGCTCTGCTGAAGTCACAAGACTGCTCTAACTGCTGATGAGAAAAGGTATTTAGCAGTTTATATTTACTAAAATAATTGCATTTTTATGTTCTGTTTACGGTGGGAGACTAGATAGTGTGAATTTAGGGTCCTGGGTTTAGTAACACTTTAATTTTAAATTTATTTATTTTTTTCAAATTGGCCTGCGATACATTGAAGCCATGAATTGTAGATGAAATTTCAAGCTTCTGCACACCTTTCCTCAAGCTCTTTGTATACAGTACACTGAGGTACAGATTTCAGCTAGAGATCTGGAGGAAATGTAATACTAGTGTGGTTCTCAGTGAGGTCTAAAACGGCGGTCTACCCAAAAGGGCCTCCTCCCCCGCTTCTGGTAAATAAAAAAAAAAAATCACACTTTTGGGGTGGGGGTGCCTGATTTTGATAGGTACCCACTACCACTTCTGCTCTGACCACCTGGATCAGAAGCGGAGATTTTATTCTTCCCCCGCAGTCTTCTGGGACACATAACAGGTTGCAGAAGACTGCGGGGATCATTCACAATGTGCAGCAAAGCTTTCACATGCTTAGTGGGCACCTGGCTGTGAAGCTGCAAGTTGTCACAGCCAGGTGCCCACAGGTAACATGCCAGGTCAGGCAACTGGAGATGAAAACGGCTGGGGTGAGCACACCGCTGGATCATGAGATAGGTGAGTGGATGTTTAATGTCAGCAGCTACAGTTTTTGTAGCTGCTGACATTTAATTTTTACACAGGAGACTGGAGCTCCTCTTTAAGATGGAAATATAAAGCAAACAAAGATTCTATCCCTTCCTTATGTTATCTAAAAAGTTAAAAAGAATTTATTGCCTGGGATTGGGCTTTAATGTAAACTATTTCAGTATTAAAAGTTTAGGTCTGTCTTGTTGAAATCCTAATATTATTTATTAAGCTGTCATTTTTATTTGTTAATCATCGCTGACTGATTCCCTGATAGCCAATAGACAAGATTTCCAACATATCTGCAATAAAGTGCAAAATATGGTACAGTACGCAAGTGCAAATGTGACAGGACATAAAAAAAAAAAAAATATAGTCATTGCATTAACACCTAAACATAGATGATTGCTTTAAATACACTATAGTTTACATTTTCCATCTGTATTATGTGTTTTTCTCTGTTTATTTTGTACTTACAACATATGCATCTGTTTACAGCAAAGCAGTGTGTAGAGAAATGTCTTCTGCTGCTGAGATTTTTACCTACTTCATCAAGACTGCCATTAGAGAGCTGGATTTCTACAGATGACAATGGAGTGTTGTACAATCGTAGAAAGAGTTCCATTGTAGAAGCAGATTTTCAAGCTTCAAGTGCCTCGCCTGTTAATGCCTCTCCTGAAGCTGCTCATCCAAATTTAATGGCTAAATGTCAAGTGCCTGATTCTGACCCTCAGAAAAAGAAGGAATCAGAACTCTTTAAGTATGAGACACCAGTAGGGTCACAAACAAAAACAGCAGAAAAAGCCGAAGAGCCTTCCTCTCCTCCTCCTACCCCAACCCGTAAAGCCCCATTTAGTCGAGCAAGACTAAGGCTGCTTTCATTCCGCTCTATGGAGGAGGCAAAGATGCTGCCAACAGTGAAGGAAAAATATCCAATTTTAAAAAGTATCTTAGATTTTGTAAAGGATCCAGCAATTTCCCATGAAAGGTAAAGACTGAAAACTTTTCTTGCCAGTTGTTATTTTTAGATGATAATGCTTTTAGGAGGAGGTATAATGAATAATCCCAGCACAAGATGATCAAAGCAGATCACTCATCAGTATAAATGTACTCCTAATTATCCTTTTATAAGGAAAGACTCTTAAATATGGATGCACAGGCAATAATCGAAAATGAACTTGATGTGGGTGTTCTGAGCCTTTAGTGAATCACTTAGCGAAGAATTAAAAAATTGGGTATAATTAAAAGTAATTTTTCCAAACAAAAGCCTTGTCAGCTGCAGTCATCTCTGTGCTTTTCTAGTTAGTGTTGTTTTTTACTATGTGATTTGTTGCAATAATATTTTAATGTTTTTTTTGTTGTTTAAGTGTTTTGCAGGTCCTGTCCTTAAGAAAAGCTCAGGCTGAAAGCATTCTGAAAGTACTTCGGATAATTCAGGAGTGTCTGGACATTCTGGGACAACCCAATTTCTTTCAGCCTCCTTGTGTACTCTTCCTACTGGAGCTGCTGGCTTGCCAGAATGACTTTACCAAGTAAGTTTATCCATCTACTTACATGGAGTTTTATTGCAACATTTTACATCGTTTTGCATTATGAAAACTAGGAATATTAAGACAATAGATCTCAATAGTGAAAGTTTATCGGTCTATAATGTTCCACAGCAACCAGCCTTATCCATTCATTGTGGTGCAGGGGAATGAAGAATTTTGTTTGTCAAGATTGTTCTTCACATAGTTTATGAAATCAAATCTGCTGTAAATACCAATTATTACTCTATCTTTCATTGATGGACACAGCTCTTCATGTTCTCGACCATAGGTCTAGATAGATTTATATTGCAAGATATAGGCAATAGGCAAAAAAACAAACCTAGCACTGCCTATTGGCAGTCCTAGCTGGTAGTAAACCACCCAGCTCGGTTCTTTCTGCCTAGTGTAGGAGAAAGGACCTTTTCCCTGCTGGGACATATGGTTTCATAGCCTTTTTTCCTTTTTTCTTTTTCCTGGTATTTTCCTCTGGAGATCTTCAATCAACAACCTGGCTGGATAACAGGCTGGATAATCTAGATCCAGAAGTCACCACAGCCTGCCCAGCAGCTCATGCAGACCTTTAGATATGCGCTGGGTCGGCTGCGACAGCCCCATCCTGGTCTGGCAAGTTAAATGACCGGTGAGTTAAACGTCTCATGGTGACATAAATGACTGGGTAACTGAAATATGTGTCACAGTGTTATCCTGGCAACAGCTCCCCCACTTAGGTGGAGAGGAAAATCTGACTCAGGAGTATTACCTGCAGTTATGGCTGGACCATTAAACAGACACCCCACCCCCCTTTTCCTCAGGCACACTGGAAGGCTGAGGGTGCTTCTTGGGGTTGTCGGCCATGTACGGTTTCCTCCGCCCTTACAGGCCTACATTGTACTCTTCAGTCTCCCAAACCCCCCCCCCCCCCCCCCACAGGACACGGGGATTGCCTGATTGACTCTTGTAGCTACCTATCCTGACTTGGGATCTGCTGGTGGTGGGATGACACGATTTTCATTTTTCAGCGTTCCAATACATGGGTCTATGAGCTGATTTTGCAAGGCTACAAAATTACATTTCTTTAGAATTTTTACTCTAACCTGTTTATGGTTCTGTAGAAGGAAAGGGTCCTTCCAATAGTGGACCTCAAAGAAAGTACAGAGGTTAAGATGGAGCCCATCTATTCTGTGGTGGCTTCACATCATCAAGGAGATTCCTGGCTTCCATATCCATCAAGCATGCGTACCTATCATTCCCATCTGTACCGGGCACCAGTATTTCCTCTGATGTGTGGTCGGGGACATGCATTCTTAGTTGGGTGCTCTTTTTTCTGGCCCCCCCCCCCCTTTGCTCTTAGTTGTTTACCATGGTGCTGGCTCTGGTGCTTACTTGTGGAGACAGTGGGGGACTGCCGTCAAAGGCAACCTAGACAATCGCATTTGCTTTCTATGTTGATGGACAACCATGTGCACTCTGCAGGAGTTCAGCTGGATGGTGAACCTCAGGAAGCCTGCACTGACCCTGCCAGGCCTTTGTATTATCTGGGCTGATTCTCGACACGGCATGGGCTAAGGTGTCCCTTCTGCCAGACAAGTATTGGAGACGCTGGACTGCAGTCTGATTGCTGCTGTTTTGCTGGTGGTCACCTTTGCGCCTTTACTTGCAGGTTCTGCGCCTTATAGTGTCCACCTTTGAGGTGTTTCCATATGCACATTTCCATGTGAGGGTGCTGCAGAAGGAAATCTTATCTTAGGGTAACAAATCTTGTGTGTCATTTGAGAACCAGATCTGCATGGGATGATCAACCAGGGTCTCCCTCCTTTGGTAACTCCAGTCTCTATCTCTTCAGGCTGGGAATTCCTCTTCATGGATGCCAGCCTGTCCAGCTAGGGGGGAAATTCAGGGTCTGAGGTCTGCGCAGGGTCTCTGGACACGGGAGGTGTTTCTGCTACCTATCTGTTCCCTAAAATGCCCTATACATATCTGTGCCCTATGAGTTTGACGCTTTGGATGGAGCTTCTTCACAGGCGCCTTCACAGTTGGACAGTGCCACAGCTGTGGCCTAGGTCAATCATCAGGATGGGACAAGGAGCTCGACAGCACCACTGGAGGCTTCACACATTCTTTAGTAGGCGGAACAGCACATGCTGGATCTCTCCACTGGACCTTAGCTGTTAGACATCAGAACAAGGAGGGTGGTCACTACACCCGGATGCTTTTCTATCTGCTGCGGTGGGGAACCCTGGCCATGGTTCCTCTGGTGTCTCATCTCAACAGGAAGGTGTCAAGAGTGAGAGATCCCCCTGGCAGATGCATTGGATGCTCTGATGGAGTTTTTCCAGCTTCTTTCTGCCTTCTTCCACTTGAGCTTCTCTTGTCTGCTGTGCAGGATAGAGGCTGAAGGGATCTCGGACATTCTGGTGGCTTTGGATAGTCTCGGTGACTCGGTGGTATGCCAACGTGCTGCGTGGTTACGGACGTCCTCTGATTGCTTTCTCTGCAAGAGGAACTTCTCTACCAAGGACTATCTTCTACTGTTCTTTATCATTGCTGGCTTGTACAGCTTGGCTGTTGAGAGACAGGGGGCTGTTTGGATCTGTGATTCCCACCATGTTGAAGGAGCGTAACTCCTCCTCTCAGTAGATTTGTCATCGTACTTGGAAGGCTTACCTTTCGTTGTGTGAGGTTGCAGATTTGCTTTCACATTCCGAGATGGTTGCCTAGGCTTCTGCCTTTAAGTGTCGAGTTTCTCCCTTCCGCGTTACGGCACACTCTACCAGGGCGATTAGTGCTTCCTGTGTGTTTCGACATCAGGCAATCTGTGTTTCAAGTTTTCAAGGTGGCTTCTAGTTGTCTGTATATGCCTTTTACCATGTTTTATTGAATTTGTAGCATCTTTGGATGCATGTTTCGGCCACTGGTTTTGCAGGTGGCTGTTTTGCAGTTCCTTTTCCCCTTTCAAGGATTTTTGGGTGTGCTTGAGTGCTTTTTTTCCTCTGGTTTCCCACACCTCATTGAGGCACTGCTTTGGGACATCCCTATGATCGAAAATATGAAGAGCTCTGTCCATCAATGAGGAAGAGAGAAAACTGGATTTCTTTTGTTTATCACAGTAAAATCCATTTCTCTGAGTTCATTGACAGACATGTTACCCACCCCTCTGTTTTTTTTCTACTTGTACTGATTTGTGACGATAGCAGAGAGGGGGTTTACTGCCAGCTAGGATTGCCCATAAGCGGTGCTGTTTGTTTTTTTTTGCTGCCTAGTGTCCTACTGCTGAAGGTGGTTTAGAATTTGAAGAGATGTGTGCCCTCAGTGAATTCAGAGAAAGGGATTTTATGGTGAGTAACAAGTTTTTACAGCTAGTGTTTACCTATTTAGACACCATAGTGGATTCCAGTAATACAAAAGTAGTTTTTTTGAAATGCCAGGCCTCGACATTTTATTGTGTTAAAGGAAAAGTACAGTCAAAGCTCTTTTGACTGTACTTCTCCTGTGGATCACAGGAGTGCAGTTCGTTCTGCACTCCTGTGACCCATTTTCAGCTGACAGTGGGTAAAGTCACTCAGCCAGTCCGGGCTGGGGAAAGATTTCGACTTTAAAGTCGGGATCCATCCCAGAGTCTGGAGCAGAAATTGGCTCAGCTTCTCAGCGATCTGCTGAGAGCCTGAGCCAGCTGCTCTTTCCCCCTCCGCAGCCCAATGCTCCAGTGAGCACAGGAGGGCAGAGCAGACAGCGGTGACTGACATTTTTAATGGCACATCCTCTACACTAACTTTTACATACAAATAAAATAAACCTAGATTCGTAATAACTGTACACTCTATGAACTGTGGTTTCGCTTTTTTGGATTCTGTTTTTTTTTTATCTTGATCTTATGTTAGTAGAATGCTTGTTTTCCATTTTGCTTACTTAAAAGAAAGAAAAAAAAAACCAGGGCTGAAAATATTGCAAACTACTGAGTGTAAAATTGTCATCAAAGTAAATCTGATCATTGTATTTGTTACAAACTAGCGCTTCACTGCAATAGCAGGTGCCTCTAGGTGCAAGGCAAGCAAAGAAATGGGCTGAGAGCTTTGCCTTTCAATGGGCTATATGCACCAAGGTCCATTCTAAATGTCAGAATCTCCAGTGTACTCTAAAAATTAGCTGGTGGTTCCTACTTTTGCCTGCAAGTACTACTTTCCTAAGGATTCATAACTACAGGCAGGCTTACTTATCATAAATCCATACCAGACCCTTATCTGAGCATGCAGCCCAGCAGGTCAGGAAAGGGGGGAGGGGGAAGAGCGAGCACCCCCCCCCCCAAACCATACCAGGCAACATGCCCTCAACCCTGGCTAGTGGTTGTGGGGGGGTCTATAGGCAGGGGGCTTATCGGAATCTGGAAGCCCCCACTTTAACAAGGGGGCCCTCAGATCCCGGCCCCCCCTATGTGAATGACAATGGGGTACATGGTCCCGATACTCATTCACAAAAAATAAAAAGTGTAGTGTAAACAAAGACAGGACACACAAGCCTTTTATTATTATTATTATTATTATTATACAGGATTTATATAGCGCCAACAGTTTGCTCAGCACTTTACAATATAAAGGGAGACAATACAGCAACAATACAGTTCAATACAAGAGGGATAGGAGGGCCCTGCTCCTTGGATTAAAAGAAAAAACTAAAAGAATGTCCCCCGCAGTAAATCCAATGTCAATCCGCCGCCGACCCGAAAAAAAGAATAAAACAAAAAAAAATGGCTCCGCTTCCGACGATGGCTTCCAGCCGTCTGTCTGCTTCGGTGGTTTGACAGTTCTTAAATAGGTAAGGGGCGGGGCCATCGCGCATGTGACCCCACCCTATGTGACATCAATGATGTCACATGGGGTGAAGTCACTCGGCGTTTCAGTTTGCAAATTTTTCGCTATACGAAAAGTCCCGCAGAACAAATTCAATTTGTAAACCGAGGTATGGCTGTATTGTCAACCTATTCAAATTTGGTGGTCCGCTTCACTACCAACAGTTCCTCTCTGACTGGGAACACAGTGTTCATTAGGACTCCTAAATCTGCACTTCCATCTGCCATTTTTTTGGCAAAGCTGCAAGTTGAACACTTTCTGTCACACCTGTTGCCCAATACCTTAGAAATAGTCACAGGAACTCTGATAGAGCCTGGGTTATTGCAGTTCCTTCATACCAGACATGCTGAACCCCCTCAGTCTACCTGCATTCTGTGAGTATCCCCCAGGGGAAGATCCTTACTTGGCAATGGCAGATTACAGGCAATTGGGAGCAAGAGCATGTGGGACACATACTGGCGATTTCACTCCAGGCTCTGAGGGAACTCAGAAGTTTTTGTCAGGTTGATAGCAGTTCTTTTGTTCTTGAGCACTGCTCCATCCCCCTTATTCAAGCTCCCCTACCAATTTCCAACACACAACCTGCTTCGCTGAAGCAAAATTTTCTTCCACTATGTCTGATTTTATTCCAAAGGCTGTCACCACTTCTGGAAACAGTAGGTGCAAATGGTTAATCACCTTTTGTATGGGTGCCATTCTCTCTTCCCATGTTCTGCCTGGAAGAGACGTCTGACAGGGAATTATAATGGTCATCTATGTCTGCTTGCCACATCTTCCCTGGGGATGGATTCCTCAAAAGTTTTTTTGCAGGGTGGTCCCTCTATGGAATTTCTCCCTTCTCTTCCACCAAGCAGGTTGGATACCTTGTCTTGCTAGGGAGTGTACATTCTGGAGTAGAGTCCTTACCTGGGCCCATATTGAGGTTTTTCTGTGCTTTTTCAGCATCAGGGCCCCACCCCGCTTTTTTTTTTCAACAGGCCATGGGGCCAACACCTGATCCTGAGCTCATATCTTCAAAATGTTTTGGTTTTTTTTTGTTTTTTGTTTTTCTGGTTTTTTTTTTTGCTAGGTGGCTGATTGTGCCTCTGCTGATACATGCTTTGGCCAAATGGTGACTCTGCTTTCAGGTTTGTGTTAGGGTCTGTTGACCCTTCTTGTCCTGTAGTACACTCAGTCCTGTTAGTAAATAGGACAAAATTTGAAACTTCCTTCTAAAATAATTTTTAAAAAAAACAAGGTCTCTCCTATAAACATAAAAAGCACACACCAGTATTATGCTGCCTCTGCAAGTATTATTTTCTCATTTGAATTCACTGGTGCAGCAACATGGTGACATCTGTATACACAAATAGTGAAGGCACAGCTTATTTACAGGCAATAAGACAGCAAGAACAACTCGGAACAGCTGATGACCAATTTGTGTCACAAGCGCAAAACCAAACAGGCACCACCACCTATTTGCCATTTATGAAGAGAAAAAGAATGCAGAGCTTATATACAGTGTACATAAAGCACAAAAAAATTTTTTTTTTCCAGTTTTAGACCTTTTCCTAGTCTTTTCAGATTATTTTTTGCTGCTGTGTCTGCTGGGGAAATTTCACTGCTAAGTCACTCTTCTATTTTTATTTTTACTGCTATTAATCATGGTTATCTGGGCACTTTATTAGCTATATTCCTATAGTTTCCACTATCCTCATCTTCTGAAGAATCATAGGTTTAAGTTGGTGAAATTGTAGAGCAATGTGCTCACTGGTTCCATCACTTTTTTTTTTTTTTTTCCTGTTCTCACTTTCTACTACATCCAAAAATGTTTTGGGATTTTTGTAAAAGTTACGTTGGTTAACTAAGTAGACGTTCTAGATTTACTGTAATTGCAATGTTTTCTTTCATCATAACAGTAAATTATTGGTTAATTTTTCCTATCACTTGAAGTTTATGTGTTGCGTTGTACATCTTAATTTCTAACTTAAAGTGGTTGTAAACCCAAATATAAAAAAAATACATTTTTGCCATTAATTAATACATTTTAATGTAAACATACATACAGCTGTGAGTGTACGTCAGAAAAATTCTCCCTTATGCAGGCCATAGACAGGTCGAAAACCGGTCGTTTTAAAAAACAAACCAAAAAAATCGGTCGTTCACAAGGTCGACTTTACCACCAATGGTAAAAAAAATCAGCTGATTTTGTCCCGTCTAAGGCTAGCATTTAATTACTTCTGTCCCTTGCAGAGAGCTCCGCTATTATATTTGACATCCTCCTCCTCCCTCTCCCCCCCCCCCATGCGCAGTTTTTTTTTTTATCGCTAAAACGATCGGCTGATTTGCTCATCATTGTCGGGAAAATCGGCCTTTTTTTCCTTACCGATAAAAAAAAAAGTGCCAAAACCCCGAAAAATGGCCAACCAATTAACCCACTAAAGGTGCGAAAATCGGCCGATTTTTTTTTTTTTTCGACCGGTCTATGGCCTGCATTAGCTTGTCTCAGCCCTCCAAAAACTGCTGGTCTGTGGGCGTGGCTTAGGACCAGAGAATAGTAGGCAAAGATGTGATGTCACACAATCCCTCAGTTATACACACCCTCCAGCCTTGGCTCCAGAACTTGCATAGCTATATGACATCTCTATGCCTGCGAGCATGTCTCCTGAGTGCATTCAGGGGAATACACAGGTGCCAGTGACTGTCAACTCTGCTTACAGTACAGGATCTGTTCTAATCAGGAGAAAGCTGGTAGGAAGGGGTTAAAAATCCTAGGAATCTTGCAGCCTAAAGTGGCAATGTGGACCAGGAAACATCCTCATGTAAAACTCTGTAAACAGCAATTCACAAGCTAGGTGCTGTGAATAGAGCAGGACAATAATTCGCTGTCAGCAGACTCACCTAGATAACTACAGCATTACTGAAGTGATGCCGATCTGTGTCATAAATCACTGGTGCAGAGTTCTCAATCTTGTGAAGGCAGAGACCAGCAAGAAGAGGACTTATTCTGTTCAGAAGACCAGGGGGGATTTCTGGAGAAGGGGATTGCTTCATGACACCAAATTAAGCTCAAATGCTTAGTAAAAGTAAAATCTATTCAACTGTAGGATTAGATTGATTTGTGTGTTTTGGGTTTACAACCACTTTAAGTTTATCAGCAGGGTCAAACTTCTGTATCTAACTTTGTCATCACTAGTGTTATGATCAGAATGCTGGAGTTCTAGATAATGCAGATGTCACCCAGAAGGAAAATAAAAGCTTTCTGATCTAAGTATCCTGTTAGTTTTGCAGTTTATGGCAGATATATGTACACAAATACTGAGAGAAAAAATAAAAAGACTTACCATAGATCTCTATTCTATGCTTTATACTGTAGTTACTTTGGTCACCTAGAAGGCTGCGGTGCTGAACTGCATCAAGAAGTACGAGAAACATACTACAGGCTTGTTGTGCTTTTAGTTAATGCTGTGAAAACTTTCAACAACCTTAATGACAGGTATGTGTTGACCTCCATGTTCAATGTTTTTTATGTTGCCACAGTTGCTGATTGGCCTGCCTGTGCTGTAAACTTGTTTTGGCTCTTTTCTGTTTCATTTAGCTGCTGTACATACTAAGTCTTAAACACATACTTATTTTGGATGAACTGAAAACATTTAGGGGGCCAGACTCATCAACCAGTTGTGGCCCTTGGACATACTGCACACATCCAAAAAAAGTAATCAAAGTACATAGGGAGTGTGTAGTATGTCCTGTCCTTCTGTCTCTCCTCCTCCTTGCACTTGCTTTGCAATTTCTGACTGTCAAAATGACATCTGGAAGTTACCATAACCTGTTGCATTACATAACAGGCTAGAATAGTTCTTCCCTGTCTTCATTCATGAGTGCCGATGGATAACTTTACGTAAAACAGAGGCTCACAATACAGAAGCAGTGTGTTTATGCAGTGGTTTGACTACATTTCCGTGAACTTTAACCACTTGCCAACGGCTTGTACAGACACAGTCTTGTACCTGTATGGCGGCAGTGGCTTCTTGGTTCAGAGTGTTCGCAGATCAACTCCTAACTCCCCTCCCGCCCCGTGGCTAAATCATGCTGTGATTGGACACAGCTGGATTTAGTCAGCAGATTTCAGCCAGTGATTTATGGCTGAGACCTGCTGATTGTCTGTGTCCAATCACTGTCCAGAGCCCTGTGTTGACAAACAACACAGGGCTCTGTACAGAGGGAAATATGTTTGTTTCTTCTCCCTGCAATGCCCACTGCACTCATAGTCCCAATAAAAGTCAATGATCACTGAAATTAAATAAACTAAAATTTCCAGTGTATATATCATAGTTTGTAGGTGCTATAACTTTCACACAAACCAATCAATATACACTTATTGGGATTTTTTACCAAAGAAATGTAGCAGAATACATTTTGGCATAAATGTATGAAGAAGTTAGATTTTTTTTTAAATTTCAAAATCCAATTTTATTGGATATGTTTTATAGCAGAAAGTAAAAAATATTGTTGTTTTGTTTTTTCAAAATCGTCTGTCTTTTTCTATTTATATAATAAATAATAAAAAAACCCAGTGATGATCAAATACCACCAAAAGAAAGCTCTAAGGGAAAAAAATATTAATTTAATTTGGATACAGTGTTGCATGACTGTGCAATTACCAGTTAAAGTACCGCAGTGCTAGATAGCAAAAAATGGCCTGGTTATGAAGGTGGCAAAATCTTTGGGAGCTCAAGTGGTTAAAGAATATGTAAACCCAGCATTTCATATTACTGATATGTGCCTGCTGTACCATGTACTTATATGAAAAATTATCCAATTTTCTTTGTATTGCTTGCTTTGTGTGAAATACTTGGTGCTCCCGCCAGTCTCTCTGCTTTCCTATTAAAATCTGACCACGCTAGATATTAGAGCACAGCATTGACAGTTTTCTTGATGTGCTGGGAGCTGATCCAGTGGTCAGGCTTGTGCTTACACACTCCTTCCCCCCACACAACCATTCACCGGGAAGATCACTGTATTGCTGTTTCTCTTCCCCTAGCTCCTTATGCAGCTGAGAACAGGGTATGCGATCATTTATAAAGAAAGAAAAAAAAAAAGGGGGGGGGGGGTATTTCTAATTTTTTTCTATATGTATTCACAAATGTTTTGCCTTTCTATTTCTAAATTGAATGGGTTGTTTTAGATGGAGTAGGAGTCCTTTTCATCCAGCGCTGCTGGCTCTGTGAAGTCCGAACCTTTTTTGCACTGCTTTCTGATGACACCAGGAGGTGGGACTTTGAGTATAGTCAAGCTGATATCTATCCACCCCCCAGTACTCGGCAAAACTACATCTCGATGAGCACTAAAGCCATCATTGAGCAGATTTGAATCTGCGGTGTCTGCAGATTGTGGTTGAATCCCTGGGGACCCCCGCAGAACCCCAGTTGAGAAACCCTTGTGTAGATCATTGGCTGTTAGTGGCTGTGTTGCGGTCTTAGATCTAGAAGCAGGCGGAGCCACACACTCCTAGTTCTAAAATATATTAACATTTTGACTGCATCTATGAATGAATGATACTTTTTATTTTTGTTTTATTTTAAATTGACAATTCCAGTCATACAATAAAGAAAACAGCTGGTGCTCACAGTTACGGTCTTCCCTCTTAGACTCAAATAAAAAGTATATACAGTCCATTGATTTAAACATTTTCAGTGATATTAACACTGCATAGGCACTTTGTCTTGTGAGACTGGGTATCTTCAGTGTTTCCAGGATCACAATAGAATACCTGTAATGTCACATTCACCTTGGCACCACAGGTGAGAGCCAAGGTGTAAGGTAAGTATATTTTTAAGCTCTCTCCTTGGTAGTCTATTTTGCTCGTTTTATCCTGGGTAGTTTCCTCACCTGTTTACCTGTGTCACAAATAATCCATCAATCCTTGTTGTTTTGGCTGGTCTTACAGCACTGAAATGAATGAAAAAGCTGTAGTGATTGCCATAGGTGTCGATTGGGGTATCCCATGGCATCCACAACTCTTAGATAATTTACTGAAGACTTGTTTAAAGAGATCATCCCACTATATTCTTACTATGATGTGTTGTTTGCCCAGGTCACTTCTCCCAGCCTTATCATGTGTGCAGACTACCCTTCTTCACATGCTGGACATGAGCTGGGAACCCCAAGACCTTTCATTCTTCCTCAGCATTGACCTCCCAGAATTACTTTTATCAATGTCTAAAGAAAACATAAGTACCCATGATAGCATTGTGAGGTAAGTTATTATGATTCATGTTTGTCTATTTAGAACTAACATTACCAATATTCTGAAGATGTTTATGTGATGCTGTCATTTAATGTTAGGGCCTCGTTTACACTTGCTTTACAGTCTGAAGCTCGATCTGCCTTCGGAACACACTTCAGACATCAATAGACAGGTGTTTATGAGGTGTTGTATCACCTCCTCACCACTTGTTTTAACCTCCTAATTACCGAACAACTGTACCACCACCTCTCGTGTGCGGTTGCAGCAGGGAACCATTCACATGAATGGGTTGCACTCACCAGGCGGTACTGTCCACTAAGCGTGACAGGGCTTATAATATCTGCTGTGACCACAGAGCATCACGGCCGCAGCATGTGTCAGTGGTTGAGCGGTGGTTAAAAACAAGGCTCAACCACAGGCTTTTACCACCCCTCAGTCGCAAGGTTAAATGGGAAAATTTTAAAACCATTATCTGTTTAGGTGATCCTTTGTCTGCATTATAAGATAACATTTCAGAGGGAATGTACACTCACCGGCCACTTTTTTAGGTACACCTTGCTAGTGCCAAGAAAATATCCTTCACACCATTACACAGTTGACCACCCCCTCCTCCTCAAAAAACTACACTCTCTTGGCCTCAGAGACTCCGCTCTCTCCTGGCTCTCTTCCTATCTTTCACAGCGCTCCTTCAGTATTACCTATAACTCGACCATGCAGGGCTCCACCCACACGACCACATCATTCATTCACAGTTTCCTGTGAATGCACGAACTACAACTACTATCAGCCATTGCGGCTGACAGCTTGTAGTTCCTAATGGACTGAGAGATCGCTGATGAGTAACCTCTTAGTTCTTTCACAAGCCCTGCAGCTTGTAAACAGTCAGTCCATACGGGCTGAAAGGTGCAGGGCTTGTCTGCAAGAGCCTGACTTTGCATCCCTGATCCGCTGATCAGAGATGCCATGCTTTACAGGCTCCTTAAGGGAAAAAATGCATATTTTTTTTCTTGCAAAAATTATGTGCATTTATTATTTTTTTCCTAAAATGTGAACTTCTTATTTTTAAGTGTGCTTGAAGCTGGCTGAATGCTTTCCAAGCCCTATGTAGAAACTTGTTTATACTGTTATACAAGCTGGAGCCCATACAAGGCCTAATTGTTAAAGTGGTTCTAAAGTTAAAAAAATTTTTTTTACCTTAATGCATTCTCTGCATTAAGGTCGACAACCTCTGATATGTTAAAGCTGCACTCCAGGATAAGCAAATAGTGTTCAAACACAAGAGGCATGTGTATTCTTTCTTGAATCTTGGTGTGCGTGGTGTGTATTTCTTCCAAATCTGCATTAATGTAGCATGGAAAAACATCTGCACTTTCAGGAACCTCCTGTGCTATAGACCTGTCATTGTTGCTCTCTTCTAGTCTTGTAGCTGCTCCTCTGAGGTTTTCTGCAGGCAGCCTGTAGTGGGAGGAGCTGCTGGGCCCCACCCATAGCTCTGCTTTGCTCAGACTTTGTGCAGGTCAAAATGTTATGTAAATTTTCAAAGGCATTTGGTAAAAAAAATATTTCAATTCTATCCCTTGATGCTCTCAAGGAATATACGTAAATGAAAAGTTTGTGCCTGGAGTTCAGCATTAAAGTGAACCTGTGAGAATAGAAAAATGGAAGCTACCACTGCTATCTTATTTTAAGGGGGCATTCACTGTGATCCTATGGTCCTGCAACAAATGGAAGCATATACAGTATGCACTCAAGCCAGGATGAGAATGACTTCTTTAAGGTCTGTGCCACTTATAAAACAGTTCCCTAATGACAGCTCGCAGGATTCTGTCCTTGGAGGTTCTTTTTATGGAACAAGGTTTATTGTTTTAATTTTAGGAATAGATAAATCACTTAACATTCCTACCAGTTTTCATTGTAAATTAATTCACAGTTGTGGTGCAGTATTTCCATACAAAATGTCTATCCGGCTGTAATAATAATAAGAAAAAACATTCAGGAGGTGGCAGTTTCGCCTCTTGGATGCCTGGTGGCATTCACTGCTCTCTTGCCATTGCGTATAGCATTGCAGAGCAGCAGGAAGGGCTACTATCTGTGTGAATGAACTCCAATAGCACAAGTTGTCGATTAAAATCGATACCCAGAAAATCATTTTTTTTTTATACTGCCTTTTTATCTTGGTTCTAAATGATAAACGTATATGTGAATGGGGCTAAATGCTGTCCTTAAAACTAAGCCACACTCTCCACTTCATGTCCAGTGAGGGTATACCTTGTACTGATGTCCTCTTTGTAGATGGTGGTAAGCACTAGGCGGGACCTAACCACTGGACATGGCTTTACTTAAAGCTAAGTCAGTTGAGTCATGAAGAGACGCTTTTCTGAATATCAGATAAGGTAACCTGCTTGCTATTTAATATGGCTGACAGTTTTGCATTAAACCACAGTTTATTAATAAAGGACAGCCTTGTCTGATGGGCAGAGAGCTCTTCAAATTAAACAAATAGAAAAAGCTCAATAAAGTTGAGTGCCAGCTTTTTTTTTTGTCAGATTGGCATCGTGACTGCAGGGATTGAGGATGTAAAGTGAATCCTAAATTCAGACTCCCAAACTCCCCTTGTGCTGCTTACTATTTTACTGGTGGAAATGCTAATTTCTGATTATATTAAGATGGCCAACACTTTTTTTCTTTTTCAGTCAGTGGGATGAAGAAGATGAAAGGGCAGATTACAGGCAGAATCTTCTGTGGTTAGAGGCATGCAAAGATGGAACGTTTGAAGCTTGGTATGAAAAGATCAATCAGGCAGATCCAGATGTAAAAAGAAAGGTGAGAATTTTCATGTCTTCCTTTCTCTAGTATTCCCTCCAACTGTATTTTGTCTTTCAACTGTATTCATTATTATACAAATTATCAATATTTTTATGGGATATATACATGTTATGTGTGTGTGTGTGTGTGTGTGTGTGTGTGTGTGTATATATGTATATATATATATATATATATATATATATACACACACACACACAAATAATTATGATGGCTGTGTGCTGATGGCTTTTCATTACAGTTTTTCTTTTTTTGAGCTTCAAAAAGGCAATAACAACTAAATTGCCCACACAGGGGCCACTGCCAGTGTATAAACTAAGATATAGAGACAAGGAACAGAGTGCAAGAAACTAAGATCAATTTAGTAATCTTTGGAGGCATTGAATCAATGGCTAAAGTCGATGATGTGTCAATTGTAGACTATAAGATAAATGTACACTAACTAGAAAGTAGGGGTAGGATGCAACAGAAAGGTAAGTGGAAAGAGAAGACAAGGGGAGAAAGGAAAAAGGTGAGAGTAAGGAGGGGGGCATACATCTCCCACAGACTCTGGTCAAGGGCAGCCAGGTAGTTAAAGGGCACTCAGTCTAGTGGGGTCCAGGGACGGCAAAGCATAGGAAATCCAGTTCTCAAGGATACTAGATATTTTCCCATTGAGGAGCATCAAGTTCATGCAGTCCTTGACATCTTAAAAGGAGGCTGAGGTCTTCTTCGAGGTCCTGGAAATGCTCTGCTTTGCCACTGAAAACAAATACATTGCCAATTTTAGAGACAGGCAAAGGCCAAGGATTCTTTTAGGAGAAGAGCCATCTGGGCATTTTGAGGGATATGGAAGAGGGAATGAAGATGTCCAAACACTTGGGACAAAAGGCTGTACGTATTAGACAAGCCCACCAAACATAAACTGCGTCACCCCATAGGCCACATCCCCCAAAACATCTATCGGTACAATTAGGATTGGCATCGGCAAACCGGGCAAGAACCCAGTACCAGCGGAAGAGGACCTTGTAGGCCGGTTACAAAAATAGAAGTGCTTAAAGAACATTTAGCTGTGCTTAGCCAGGATTTGCTTCAGTCTTCCAAGTCCATTGGAGCCACAAGGTCTCTATCCCAATTCTTGAACCCTTGGCGTTCAGCGTAGAGTATAACATAGAGATGAGTTTGGGTACCCCCAGGAAATGTAGGCAAGTATGTTCAAAGGAAGTTTTAGTATAAGGGGAGAAATCAACTTTCCATTGTGCTAAAATAAAATGTTTTAATTGTAGCTAATGAAAGTGTTCTGTGGGATGAAGGAAAAGTACGGTCAGTCAGGAAGTGAACATGTGTGAAACCATGCGGCGTCCACCAGGAAAAGGACCTAGGTTGCTGTAGGCCTGAGGGAAATCATGGGTTAAGGTTGATGGGCAGCAGAGGAAGGAAAGGAGACATTCATTTACCTGAGTAAGAGACTGAGTCCCAGATCCTCAGACTTAGGATTCATTAAGCGGATTCATTAAGCTGATGACTTTAACCTGACTTAAACGGAACCCTATCATAGGAAGAGTATGGAGGCTACCCTTGCTGACCTCCTTAAAGAAAAATACTAGCTGTCTAGCCTTTTCTGGCAGCAGTACTTTCTAAAACTCTGATGCAAATAAAGTCTGAACTCCTTATCTGTTGATTTGGTCCATGCATGTGGAATTCCGGGATAACCCTAACTACCCATAAAACTGTTCCCTTCCCCCTCCTAAGACCTATGATTACTAACCTGTGTAAATATGATGTGTATACTTACCTATTTTCAGGCCACTGCAATCCAGTCACATGATCCCTCTCCCCTGTGTCAGCAGGAGAGAGGAGGGACAGTATATGGGCCATTGAAGTCTGTGTGATGTCACTGCTCCAAGCTTTACTAGCCATTGTTGGAGCAGTCTCTCCCCTCCCCTGCAGCTGCTGCTGGCAGACAAAAGGAGATCATGGGACCAGAGAGACCTGAAAATAGGCACGTATACAAGCACAGGTGTTAGGAGGGAAGAGAAGACCGGTTTAGGAGTAGCTAGGGTTATCCCAGTATTCCACTTTAAGGTGTTTGAGTCAGGGTGATAGTCAGGGATTTAGCATTTTCAGATGGAGATGAAGATTAGAAACTTTTTTGCTGCCACAAACACTAGTACAGGTGGGAAAATGTTTATCAAACAATATTTTCTATAAAAATATACTAAAATCATTATTACTGCACACAAACACAACTTACATATCCAGTTAAATAACAAGTCCAGTTAAATGTTACAAACTTGAACTAGATATCACTTACAAAATTCCTATGAAACCTAACAGATAACATTGTTTTGAGTTAATAAGTAAAAACATTTTGTAAATTTTAAATTGTGTCTTTTTGCCAAGCTATGAAAATTGAATGTGCACAAAACTATTAGTGGTATTAAAAATCTGGAGGTTGGCTTCACCTTCACACCTATTCATTGTTGTAATGCCTAATCTGCAGTGCCATGTGTTTGCAGTGTTGGTGTGCAATGAGATCAAATGATTCAGGCTTATCATTTTACAGAATTGAATGAATATAATTGAACAAATTATAAAAGAAAAATATCAAGCACTGCACTGCATTGTAACAACACAGTTCACATGCAAAAAGCAGAGCAGTGCATGTGTGGTATGCACACCATAATGAATACCTGCTGGTGTGAATGAGCCCTTAGTGTGTTGGCGCACAAAAACATGTAAAGTACATTACTACAGTATGTGTATTATTACAGTATGTGCAGTGTACAATTGTACATTATGGGCTCTTTCACATAGACACCGAGGGCTCCACACCAGCAGAATTTCATTGTATTTCTGCACCCAGGAGACATAAGTATTTGCCTACAGCCATGGCTAGCAGCCTGTACATGACATGTACATCCATGACAAAATGACAGATGACGCAACTTTATGCATGTTCAGTTGGTTTCCTGCTCACATTTTGATATGGAGGGTTGTTATCAGTGGCTTGTCGGCTGCTGATCACATCAGTTTATTACTCAGAAGAGTTTAGGGAACACTCTTTTTTCAAGTCAGCAGAAAATGCAAAGGCTGTAAGGCTTACTGAGCTAACCAGCTGCAAACTGTTTCTGTGCTGACATAAGCCTTACACCCATGCCAGTGAAAGACTTAAAAGGTGAGTGTCTACTATGATAAAATAGCACAAACAGACAACTAATTTCAAAGACTTTACCATAGATTTAGTTTGTTCCTGTTATATAGATAACCCAGATTTCAATGTGCTGAAGATCTGTGTAATATTCTTAACATCCTAAAGTTAGCCAGTTAAGGTTATAATGATAAACAGAAAATGTAAAGTTCATTATATTAAAAAAAAGGCTTGAGCACCTATAAAATTAATGCATACTTCACAAATGTTATCACGTTTATCTTAATTAGGAGTAAGTCATATCTTTGCCACATAATGTTCATTTGCCCGTATGAGACAACTTTACAGGTGCTTTGAGCCTTTTTCCTGCACTGCTATACAGAGGAAAATAAATGTGTTAATAGCAGTCTTTTAAAGTGCTTGTTTTTTGTTTTTGTTTTTTTTTTTTTTTTTTTTTACAGATGCATTTGTTTATTGCACGGTACTGTGACCTATTGAATGTGGAAATTTCTTGTGATGGTTGTGATAAAATTGCACCGTGGCATCGCTACCGGTGTTTACAGTGTAATGATATGGATTTGTGTAAAACATGCTTCTTGGGTAAGTAAAGTATCAGCAGTGATTTATTTCCATTACATTCCTGTCGTGAATAAAACTGTATCGTGAGTGAATGGGAAGCTTAAATGAAACTGAACATTTTTGCTAGCATTCTAAATGAAATATACTGCATTGCATTGATGTTTTGCTGAGACAAGTTCAGAGTTGACCAGCTGTATGTTATCTGATTCTAGGGTGCTCACTGCTGTCCTCTTTACACTGCTTGGTCATCCTGATTATTCTCCCCTTCCCCCACTGATGTGTTACATTTAAGTCTTGTTGGCAACAAGGCTAACAGGTTTGACATATTTGCAGAGCTATGTAAATTGTGCATTTATGAGGCAAATGCACAGTAATTTTTTTTTTTTTTTTTTTTTTTTAATGATTATTATTGCACTACTCCTTTAAAGGCAACCTTTACTGTGATTAATATGGGGCCGCCCAAGCTAACTTCCTTCTAGAAATACTATATGTTTGGTTGTCGGCCCCAAAATAAAAATACAAATCAGTCTGAACTACTGACCTGCATACTTCTTGGGACAGTACCTGCATGATAGCCAGGCGAATAGCATTTAGTGACTAGATTTCCTTGAATGCTCAGTTATCCATTCTGTGAATCGCCATGGTTCTTTATTGTCAGCATATTGCCTACACTTTTAGGGCGGCAGTGATTTTATTGTATAGATTAACAGTATTATTTGTTCATTTCACAGGTGGAGTAAAGCCTGAGGGCCATGAAGATGACCATGAAATGGTCAACATGGAATATGCATGTGATCATTGCCAAGGACTTATTATTGGTCATAGAATCAACTGCAACATTTGCAATGACTTTGATCTATGTTACGGATGTTATGTGGCTATGAGATACCCTGAAAGGTGCTTACATATACTTAAGACTGTTATGCACTTGTGTTTACATAGGATTTCTTAGAGCTAAGGACACACAAATGAATCCTACTTTTCTGTGAGGCAAAAGTGTTTAATGTGCTCAGCAGTTTAAATTATTGCTGTAAACGGTTAGAAAGAAACATTAGATGAACACCTTTTAACTTTATGTTTCAATGTATTAAAATTTCACAGACGTCTCTTACAACTTGTGTCCTGTTATAATGAGGGCGTTTGTTGAAACTAGGATCCATTTAATTTAGGATTCAGTGGCAGCTGAAGAGATTATGTAATCTAATGTTTTTTTTTTTTTTTTCCTTCCTTCTGAACATTGTCAAGCTGATGATTAGTTGAAGTATGGGATACTTAATGATGATTCAGTATATCTAAAGCTACAACCCTTTTTTTTTTTTTTTTTCTTGTTCATTGAGGAACACAGGAATTCAGAAATTGTTGGGTTATACTGCTGCCTGTAGTAGGATTCTACACTGGCAAAAGGGTTTGTATAACCCCTTATACATCGAGCGCCGAGCGTGCGTTTTTTGCTAGTGTGCTAGGAGGATGGATGCCTTTTTACTGCTTTGTTGTGAAAAGTCTAACCTTTTCACTAGATTCTCCATTTCTTTCTTTAATCATGATTCCTTTATAAGCTGTTTGAGCTGGTCTCTATTCGCAGCTATCTGCATGGACATATACTCAACAATAGCTTTGTCCTTACCTTGTCCCTACTGGACATATGGTCGCTGGGCAGGCCTGGAATTTGACCTTCGGACATTAAGCTCTGTGTTGTGGCACTTTCCAAACCTTTGTATACTTTTTAGCTAGCTGTAGAACGCTTCTGGTGTGATCCTGTCTCTGAAGACTCAGTGAGTAGGTAGTGTGAGTTGAGCAGTCAGTGAGCCTCAGTAGTAGGACTGTTGAGTACCATTATAATGACCAATTTTCCCTGGTTTACTGTGGAAAAGTTTCAAGCTGAAGTTTTGTGGAAAGGTTTAAAGCTGAAGTTTTGTACAAACAGCTAGATCCTGGACAAATCTTTACTGCAGGGATGCCTTGTCCTCTTCCTGTCTCTGAAAGTCTGGTACTGAAATGTCTAACTTCTTTGGGTCTTCATGCAAAAGAGCAATGTGGATGGTCCTACAGGGACATTTTCACTCCTTCCTTCTCCTCTGTTGAGAAAAGTCCTTTCTTTGATTACACTGCCTGTAACATGATCCGTGAATGGAGAGAGACTGATCATTCACAAGATTCTGTCCCTCATTCACAGATCGTATTACAAGCCGTGTGATCAATGAAAAAACTTTTCTAAATGGAGGTGGAAGAAGGGGGCATGTCCCCATTGGATTATCTGTACTGATCCTATCTGAAGACCCAAAGCTGTTAACCATTGCAGCGTTGCATGTTCAGAGACAGGAAGAGGACAAGGCATCCCTTCAGTGAAATTTTTTTCAGGATCCAACTGCCTACACAATGTGGAATATACTTAATTATCGATCAGTTATGTGATTTCTATTTTACCTAAAAGTCAGTTTTACCACTGGGGGCCTGAGCAAGTGTTGTGTGCCGCATGTTCTTGTTCTTGCCAGTCAGTATTGAGGAAGTACCTTTCTGTCCCTCTGATCGCAAGTGACAGTTTCATTATCTTTGGTTGGTCTTTGCTGCCTGCCTACAGTTACCTGGTCACCCCTCCAGCCATGTGAACTTCTCTTGCTTCCAGAAGCTGCTATATAAGTATTCAAGTCCTAGAACACGATTCACTGTGTTTCCAGTGCAGCATGCAATGCACCCTTTGAAGGGCTTGACACTAGCAGCCTGGAAAGTTGTCATCTGCTTAATGCTCATCTGTCCCTGGAGTCTTCCTTTGTTCTGTTAGGTGTGGCTAACTCTTTGGTTCTATCCTAGGAGAATTTAATTTCCTCTCCAGACCCTTGCAACTCAGCATCCTGTCATGGAATATGTTTGAAGAGTCCTTGGACAATTTGCCTGTCACAGACTTTCAAAAACCAGGCTGCTCCTGTCCTGGTGGCTGAGGAATCCAACTCTGGAGTTGTAGAAGTTCTTTCTTAAAATGTCTTGGAAGATTCTCACAATGGATGCCAGCCTATCACGCTGGTGAGGCATCCTAGACACTCTCTCTGTTCAGGGTACTTGCATGTCAGAGGAATCTTGAATGTTGATTGAATTTGGGATATCCCTGCAGTGCTAAGCACCCTCCCTGAAGGGTCTTCCAATCTGGATTCATTCAGAAAACATCATTATGACATATCAGTTATCAAGAGTTATCATATCAGTTACCAGAAGTCCTGCAACAGCCAGAGAAGTGAAAAAATCAATTCTTTCCTCTCAACAAGTTCCAGCCTTGTCCACCATTTACTTTCCTGGAAAGGACAATTGGCAGGCATATGGACCATGGACCTGGTAGAGTTATCCCTACACCTGGAGGTGTTCCAGGACCTGTGTCACAGATGAGTAATGCCTGATGTGTACCTCCAGATTTAACAAACTAATCAGGTTTACTTCAAGGTGCAGAGATGCCCTGGCGGAAGAGGCAGGTGCTCCAATGGCTCTGTGGGATGGATATGGCCTGATCTATGCCTTGCCACTCCTGAAACTCCTTCCTCCTCTGTTCCACAAGATCAACATGGAGGGCATTCTGATGATCCTTATAGCTCTGGACTGGCCTAGGCAGTTATGGTGCTCTGACCTGATCAAATTCCTGGCAGGTGCCTCATAGGCTTTACCAGTTTTTTCAGATCTTCTGTCTGAAGGTCCTTGTTTACCTACCTACTTTACGGTCATGGGCTTTAACAGCATGATTCTCACAATGCTTAAAGCTGAACTGTGGCAAAAATTTATTTACATGCCCTTGTTGCTGATTTCCTATCTTCACTGACTTTGTCATCCATTTTCTGGTTCACACAGTAGCTGCATTGAAATAGACTATTCATTTTCTATTCAAACCATTAATTCTCTTTAGTTTCCTGTTTGTAAGACCAGTGGCTGCTATGCCTCCTATTCCCCCTCCACCCTCCCCCCAGCCACTGGTTTTGGCACATCCCTTCTGTAGTTTTTTCTCCAGGAAGCAGTAATGTAATTCAGCCCCACTTGCAGTGGTTGGGACTCTCTAAGACACATTCAACATGTACAGGCCTAGTGTACCCACCCACATTCACTACAAATCTCTGTGAATGATGGGAACTATTGTTTCCTTTTACTGCAGAGAGAGAGGAGAGGATATTATGTAAACCCTGCTGTTACAACTCCTCCTTCTTGGAAGAGCCAATTCTGTTATCGTTTGAATTAAAGAGATGAGGTCCTGAAAAATCAATTTGATTTTTCTCCTAAATGGTAAGAATTTTCAAAGTTGTATGCACGGTTTAGTGTTTTATGTAGGGGGGTGTAGTAATGTTTTTTTTTCCTATTCCAGAGTTGTTCTTAAAATGATATCTTCACCTTTTGAACATGTTACACTCTAACAGTGGGTGGGGGATCTTCTCCCTGCACCTGCTGTCACAATTTGAAAATATATTCATACAGTGTCCTGTGAATAAATTCCTACAAGTACCATCAGTTAGTTGCGGCTGAGGACTTGTAGTTCTCAATAAACTACGAGGGTGTTGGTGAGCGCTCTCATAGTCCATTGATCTTCCTGCTCTCAGGTAACTGCCTGTCCATATGAGGTACAGGCAGACATCTATCCTGAGACTCAGCAGGAGCTTGCAACTACACCTGCGATCTGCTGATCCTTCCTTGCTATAAGCAACCATAATGTGTAAAACTTTCGCAGAGTAGTACAATATAGTATGGTAACATTATATTACTCTGGTCACAGTGTGTGATAAAAAAAATCCAAATCTTTGGATTCAGGTTTTCCAATCACCTCCATGACCACAAGTGTATAACATCAAGCACCTTGGCATGAAGACTGCTTCTACAAACATATGTGAAAGAATGGGTCGTGTTCAGTAAATTCAAGCATGGTACCGTGATAGGTTGCCATCTGTGCAATAATTCCATCCGTGAAATTTCCTTGCTACTAAATATTCCACGGCCAACTGTTAGTGGTATAACAAAGTGGAAGCAACTGGGAACAACAGCAACTCAGCCATGAAGTGTTAGGCCACGTAAAATGACAGAGTGGGGTCAGCGCATGCTGAAGTGCGCAGAAGTCGCCAACTGTTTGCAGAGTCAATAGCTAAAGACCTCCAAACTTTATGTGGCCTTCAGATTAGCACAAAAACAGTACATAGAGAGCTTCTCATTCCACACTTAGAATCAACTTCAGACCCTTTACCTGCTTAATTGATGAAGAAATAACGAAGGAGTAGCCCACACCTAGTCATGAAACCGCTTTTGATTCAATTGTCCAATTACTTTTGGTCCCTTGAAAAAGGGGCGATGGTTACTCTTAAGGGCTGTAATTCCTAAACCCTTCCTCCAATTTGGATGTACATACCCTCAAATTAAACCCGAGAGTGTGCACTTTCAGCCCATATCCATTATATAACTATAGTTTGACAATGTTTTAATAAATAACTTAAAAAACTAAAATTGTGCCTGTGTCCAAGTATATATGGACCTATATACATACACACACACTAACTATATATATATTTTTTGTTTTTCGTACGGTCAGTGTCCCTGATCACTGCCACAGCAGTTACATGATGATGCTGTACTAAACTGATGACAGTATGTTTAAAAAAAAAACGAAATTGTGAATTTTAACATTTCTTCATTTTTCAAAACATTTTGACACTTTAGTGGTGTGTGTAGAAGCAATCGAGTGGCAGTGCAGCTGCCTGAATGCTTCTACCTGCCAAGTAAGCCCTTTTGCTTGCCTGCAGCAGGGCTAAATGTTAAGCAAAAACTACCTGCCTGGCACCCAGAACTACATGTCCTGGGCATTGGGTGATACAAATTGCATATCCCTTTATGATGTAGTAATAGAGGGAGGAGTTACACTGGGTTATTCACTGTTTTTTTTGTATGCCAGTGTCCAGTATTCCTGTAGGCGGCAGTGAAACCCCACAGTCTCAGAGTTCTTGTGTTCTGCAATAAATTCCAAGAAATTGATTTTATTATAAAGTACTGCAAGCTGGATGTACATAGACCCTGAGCTGCTACCTTCAGGTGATGCACTGAGAGATCTGCTTTTTTTTTTTCACTTTTTGCTATTGTCCTGTAGGTGTTGAACCTGTTTTCCCTTATGGAGAAGCTTCTATGCTTAACTAGTACTTATTTTATTCAGATTCTTCAATCAGCCTTTTAACTACCTTCTGCTACAGCAGAAGCAGTGAATCCAGATTGGTGCAACTTCAGTAAAACCTTGGAAAATGTACACTTACAGCAAGCTGTGGGTATGGCCCGTATTGTTGCTTTGGGCACTGGATCCTGCATGGGTGCTTACCTCGACACCTAATGCAACACATGTAGTTATCCACAGAGTGCTATTCAGGTGCAGGGTTGTTAATTCCTGTGGTTTCTAGACCCTGAAGACCTCTCTGGGAGTATGCTGACCATGATGGGCGAAGCCTGGACCCATATAGGGACCAGCGACGTGGAAAGATAAGATCCTGTTATCACACTATTACTGTAGCCCTAGAGCAAGTATGGGAACAAATATCCCCTATACTCGCAGTACACGTTAGAGGAAACTAAGGAAGCATATGCATATATGCTCGCTGCTGCTGTGCACAAAAGCCTATTTATAGTCACATTTAATTCTCCTGTCTTGCCAGAGCCCTCTGACTACTAAGAGAACTGTAAAGTCTAAATAGACATTACCCATTCATGAAAAAATACAAGGGGCAATTTATGGTCGTTGTGTTTCTCCTGAATAGGTTTTCACTCCTCCAAGAATCATTTCCAAGCTAAATTTAGTGGAAAAAGAATTCACCTAAAAAGGGGATTGTTCCAGTAGTAGACCCTGCTGTCTAAGACAAACATCTTATTGTGTTTATAAAAGATGTTCCTTCATTAGGGACAACATACTTGTATGCCCTTTCAGGGCGGACATGTCTGTGGTGAGGCAAATAAAGTAAAGATGTCAAAAGAAAGGTCTTTCTCCCACAGCAGAAGGCTCCAAAAACCCTCTTCAGGAGCCTCTACCTTCTCAAAATGCAGAACTTACACACACTCTTCTCAGGCTTAATTTTCAAAGCCAAAATTTAGTCCTTTCTTTCAGCACAAGACTTGAAGCCCACCAAGTGTGCCACAAAGCTTTAACCACAATGAAGGGGTGTTCTCACGCCTATGAGTGGGGAGGACATCTGTTACAGTTTGCATTCTTCTTGGTCACAGATATTCCTAACCTATGGATTCAGTCGATGGTTTAAAGCAGTACAACATGGAGTTCCAAGGTCTAAGAACACAGGGAATCTAGGTTACAGGGTACTTAGATGACTATCTTGTGAAAAATTCATCTCCCTCACAACAGTCTGCAAATATCCAAAGGGCTATCCAGATTATTCAAGCTTTCAGTCACATAGTTGGATAAGGTTGAATAAAGACATCAGTTGAGTAATCATCTTCCAAAAGTCTGCCCTCCAGCCTTCCCTTAGTCTCTCATTCATATATATATATATATATATATATATATATATATATATATATATATATATACTTCATCCATATGCCTCATCCAAGATGGGCCAAGAACAGGTTTTCCTTCCACCATACTAGCTTCTGTCTCTATGCTGAGACCTTAAGATCAAAAAAGCATCCTTCTGTGAGAATCTCTGAGATTTTCCATGCCTCATGGTTGACTAGTGAACAACTGTTCCCTTCCCTCAGTTCTACTCGAGTCTTCTCCAACTATACATTCTGTTGGCCTGGAACAAACACTCTCCAGCTTTCGACTTCCCTATGCTGCTCTAAAATTAAACAAGGAATCCTCTAGCTTGGTGAATTACCAACCCAGCATTGGAGATGGGAAAGTAATTTCTGCCACCTTAATGGAAAGTGATAACAGACACTAGCCTCACCGTTTGGGGAAGAGTATTAAATCTCTCACTGTTCATGGAACCAGGTCACCCATGGAAGCACTGCTCCCCATCAAAAATTGTCTCTGTGCCCCAGATTTTTTCAATCATCATTGCCTAGACCAAAGGAAATTGTCCCTCCAGGGACAGTTTAGGTTCATATATGACACCCTTTGAACCCATTTGGTCAGGGGTGTTCAACCTGTGGCCCGCAGGCTACATGTGGCCCTTGGAGCCGCCTGATGTGGCCCTCAACCTCAAACCAGGGAAGCGCATGCCCAGGGTCAGCAACTTTTATATTCTGCGGGTTTGATGCACTTCCAGAAAGTGCACCACACCTGCAAGATATAATAGAAATCTATAGCAAAATGCAGCTAACCTGTAAGTGGCAAGGGCTTGTTTACATATGTGGTTTGGTGAGCATTAAAACACCATAGATGCAATGTGTTTTTATCACATCCCCCCCCCCTCCCAACCGCTGGTGTAGCATCAGGGGTCACAATGGAGATCCATGTGGCCTCCCAGTCACATTCTGTTTTACATTTGGACAACCATTGAAAGCCGGCTTCTCCACCCCTCCATCCAGTCGGTATTCAGAGACTGCAAGAGGACAATTTTCATTATGCTGTTCAAAATAAAAAACATCAAAATCCTGAAGCATTAATTTCATTGTGGCCCGCGACTAGTTGCCAAATCACTTAAGTGGCCCTTGCTCTTCAAAAGGTTGGGCACTCCTACATTAGGTGATCTCTGATCTCTCCTGCAAAGTGGCCTTCTAGGTGGCCATCACATGTCAGACGTGTTTCAGAGTTAGCTGCCTGTTCTTGTAAGAAACCCTTCCTAATCCTTCATGAGGACAAAATAGTACTATGTCTAAAATGCTCCTTTCTCCCTAAGGTAGTATCATCCTTTGACCATTTTGAAGACATTCTTTCCTTCTTTGTACCCTGCCCCCAAGCCTCTCAAGGAAATTACTCTTTGGTTTGGACGTTGTCAGGGCTGTTCAAGTCTATATGAAAATTACCACCGCCATATAAAAAAAATCTGTTTGGTCCTGCTTGACAGGGTCTTGAGTAGAACCCCCTGTTCAAAGGCCACTGTTGCCATTGTCTTTTGCTCAGCTTTGTAAGGCCACCACCTGGTCTGTCAGTTCACATAAGTTCTACCAGGTGTATGTTCAGGCCTCTGCATTGTAGCTTTCAGCCGCCAAGTTCTTTCAGTAGCACTCTGAATTGGGTCTGTGACCTTTTTCTGGTTTGTTGAGCCCTTTGGCATAGTTCTCAGGTTGCCCACCATTCTGATTCATTGCTTGGGGTCTAGAATATCTACTTCGTATCCTGTATTGTATGATTTAGTTAAAAGGATTTTTGACTTACTTTAAACTCTGTATCTTGAAGTACAGTACAGGATACAGACCACCCTCCCCTCCATTCCTGTGTTACTCCGCATTGCTTGCTAAAAACTGAGGTCTTACAGGGTGTAGGATTCAATTATAGAGGTAAGCCAAAGGGGGCATGTGTTAAATAGCTTTGCCAGTGTCCAATCACCTGAAGGTAGCAGGGTTTATAAATATCCAGCCTGTGACCTGTTATATACAGAATGCACATATAATACACAGGTAAGACCATATGACTTTTTTTTTTTTTTTTTTTTTTGGATAGAGTTGGGAAGGGTTAAAAAAAGCTATGAGTTTTGATACCCCCTTCCCCTGTTGTCATTGGAACAAGTGTCCCTGTTGGACAATTCCTCCTTTCTTTTTCTGGTGGCAACACAAACATTTGGATTTGCCCTTACGTTCTTTACCGGTGACCATGGAGATCAAAGATAATGGAGCTTTACTCTGCAAAAGAAATGTGGGTACCCATCACCTAACCCCCTGCACATTAGTAGGAGTTTTTTGTTTGTTTGCCCAGCTCCAATTCTGGCCTAGGCCAGACTGATGGGTCCACTTGGGAACCCGCATCACATATCCTAAAAGGCTGTGGGGTGATTGCATCTGGACATGCTGGTTCTGCTGTGCAGGCAAGTGTGTATTTTTAATTTAACCCACAATAACAGGACAGTTGGTAGTGATGATCTGTTTTACCACTTAAGTCCCAAGCACTGTTTTAATGGCGCATGTATAGCAGTTTTGTCCCAGAGCTGCTGCTTCACCGATTTAAAATGGTGCCTGGTTTTATTGGTTTCTGTACCTCCCCAACATTACCAATAGAAATGCTACACAGCTGCAACGGGGCAGGGCGGGGGGATCTTGATCTGATTTTTTCTGACCAGATCCAGACACTCCCATGAAAGTGCGTAACATACATTGTATGTATGTATGTATGTATGTATGTGTGTGTGTGTGTGTATATATATATAATTGTAAAAAGTGTAAAAAATTAATACATATTATGTTTTTTTCTTATGCCATTTCCTAAAACTACTATAACATCTTGTTTTCCTCCTCCAGCCATTTGCCTAGCCATAGTATCACTATCTACCCCATGGTTACAAATAAAATCAGTGACAAGCAGAGGCTTATTCAGCCCTACATTCACAACTACTCATGGCTGCTCTTCAGTGCACTGGCTCTCTATTGCTCAGACTTGGCCACTGAAGGGGAAATGGATGGGGAGAAGTTTGAGTCAAATATAATTTCCAGTGCTCAGATTCTACAAGCAAACTGTACAGATCTAGTAGCCAGCTGTCTCATGAAGGCTCAGAATGGAAAGGGTAAGACTTTGAACTGTAAACCTCTGTTTACTTTTATTTTCTTGGAGACATCCACTCTGAATTGCTTGTACTGATGTCTATGTGTGATCATCTACTTGTCATGCAAAGAGTCTTTGAAAGGAACTCTATTTTTACTTGATTAGTAGAACCGTGTATCTTTTTAAATCTTTTTTTCTGTGCAGGCAGGGTCCACTGCACACATTTCCATACATGGCACCACCAAATTGTAAACCATTTTACATTTTTGGGGTTTCAGCGCAAACAAAATGTTAGTTTTGTTTTGATTTCTTTAACCACTAGCCTACAGGGCACTTATACCCCCTTCCTGCCCAGGCCAATTTCCAGCTTTCAGTGCTGTCACACTTTGAATAACAATTGCGTGGTCATGCAACACTGTACCCACATGAAATTTTTATCATTTTTTTGAGATGGATAGAGCTTTCTTTTGGTGATATTTAATCACCTCTGTTTTTTTTTATTTTTTTCTTAAACCAAAAACCACTGAAAATTTTGAAAAAAAAAAAGTTTTTTCTTTGTGTTATAAAATTTTGTAAATAAGTGATTTTTCTCCTTCACTGATGTGCGCTAATGAGGCTGTAGTAATGGGTACTGATAGGCTGCACTGATGTACACTGATAGGTGGCACTGATGGGCACTGATGAGGAGGCACTGATAGTGGCACTGATGGGCATTGACAAGCATCACTGATGGGCACTGAAAGGCAGCACAGGTGGTGGCAGTGTGAAGGGTTAATTGCGTAATTAACCTGACCCAGTAACAAACGCTTCCAGGCTGCAGGTGCGTTGATTGTGGTCCAATTAGCTGGAATATCGGTGTGCAGGGTGCAGCTGGGTGTGGCATTGTTACGCACGTGACATCGCTGTTTTAGATAGGCTAGTCCTTCGGTCACGAGTTTGGTGAGAAGGGCTGGGGTCTGACGCCTCGCCCGTCACATTAGGGACAGTTTAAAAAAATTTTAAAATTAGAGTTTAATATTGAAAAGGTCAAAATGGTGCAAATAAAATATTTACAGGAAAAAAGGTGTTTCAAAGAAACAGAGAAACCATAAAGCAACAGAGAATTAAAAAGGAGTTGAAAATGAAGAATACTTGCAAAATACTTGGTTTTAGCAAGTTCAGTCAATAAGAAAGGTGTTATCAGCTATCATAACTTGATAGATGTTCCTTGGTTGCTGGTAAAGCGAGAGCTGTCAGAGGGTACTGACATTTCCCTTTTCTGTGGTATCAAAGGGTTGTCGACAGAGACCATCTGACCAATTACCCAGTTTCAGGGGTGGGTGCTGGGAGGTCACCACGTTTATGAAGTCCCAAATACAGTTTCTTATAAGTATGCATACTTCGGAATACCTACCAGATTATTGTCCAGCATGAAATTAGCCTCAAAATGGATATAGATATAGCAGATCTTGGATATTTATTTCTCATAGAAGGAGTGTGGGAGCCTGATCCACTCTGGTACCTCTTAACATAGAGATGTTTGGGTTCAAAAAGCTACCCAATAACTGAGGGAGGTAAGTATGTCTATATTCTGGCTGTGCTGTAATGATTTCATGAGTTATATGCTAAAGTTTTAGAATCTTGGCTGATAAGCCGTCTATCAGAAATGTGTATTGCAGTAAAGTATTTATGACCCAAGCTCTGTTAGATCTCTGGATTGCTGAAGCTTGTGAGGGTGACAATTTTATTAGGATTTTCAGACTGGAATGGGGGGTTGGGCTAATGTAGAGGTCTGGGTGTCTGATCAATGGAATGATAACAAGGTCCTGGCATCAGTTAACAGTTTGTGCATTGTATAAACTAAAGGACAGGGGGGAGAGGTCACTAGGCTATCCTTTCTTATGACAGGATGGCATAGGAGACTTGTGACATGACAAAATGGCTGCTACACGCACAGCTATTTGTGTACCCAGTACGCACGATCATTACAGGCAGCATTTCTGAATTATGTTCAAATTTGCCTTCTTTTGCGTGATAGAACTTTAACTTGCATTTTTGGAAGGCGCAGCTAACTGTTCAGAGACAGTCATTTTTGGAAGTACAGTGGGGCAAAAAAGTATTTAGTCAGCCACCAATTGTGCAAGTTCTCCTACTTAAAAAGATGAGAGAGGCCTGTAATTGGCATCATAGGTAGACCTCAACTATGAGAGACAAAATGAGAAAACAAATTCAGACAATCACATTTGCTGATTTGGAAAGAATTTATTTGCAAATTATGATGGAAAATAAGTATTTGGTCACCTACAAACAAGCAAGATTTCTGTCTCTCACAGACCTGTACCTTCTTCTTTAAGAGGCTCCTCTGTCCTGCACTCATTAGCTGTATCAATGGCACCTGTTTGAACTTGTTATCAGTATAAAAGACACCTGTCCACAACCTCAAACAGTCACACTCCAAACTCCACTATGGTGAAGACTAAAGAGCTGTCGAAGGACACCAGAAACAAAATTGTAGACCTGCACTAGGCTGGGAAGACTGAATCTGCAATAGGCAAGCAGCTTGGTGTGAACAAATCAACTTTAGGAGCAATAATTAGAAAATGGAAGACATACAAGACCACTGATAATCTCCCTTGATCTGGGGCTCCACGCAAGATCTCACCCCGTGGGCTCAAAATGATCACAAAAACGGTGAGCAAACATTCCAGAACCACACGGGGGGACCTATTGAATGACCTGCAGAGAGCTGGGACCAACGTAACAAAGGCTACCATTAGTAACACACTACGCCGCCAGGGACTCAGATCCTGCAGTGCCAGACGTGTCCCCCTGCTTAAGCCAGTACATGTCCTGGCCCGTCTGAAGTTTGCTAGAGAGCATTTGGATGATCCAGAAGAGGATTGGGAGAATGCCATATGGTCAGATGAAACCAAAATAGAACTGTTTGGTAGAAACACAACTCGTCGTGTTTGGAGGAGAGAGAATGCTGAGTTGCATCCAAAGAACACCATACCTACTGTGAAGCATGGGGGTGGCAACATCATGCTTTGGGGCTGTTTTTCCACAAAGGGACCAGGACGACTGATCCATGTACAGGACAGAATGAATGGGGCCATGTATCGTGAGATTTTGAGTGCAAACCTCCTTCCATCAGCAAAGGCATTGAAGATGAAACGTGGCTGGGTCTTCCAACATGACAATGATCCCAAACATACCGCCCAGGCAACGAAGGAGTGGCTTCGTAAGAAGCATTTCAAGGTCCTGGAGTAGCCTAGTCAGTCTCCAGATCTCAAACCCATAGAAAACCTTTGCAGGAAGTTGAAAGTCCGTGTTGCCCAGCGACAGCCCCAAAACATCACTGCTCTAGAGGAGATCTGCATGGAGGAATGGGCCAACATACCAGCAACAGTGTGTGCCAACCTTGTGAAGACTTACAGGAAACGTTTGACCTCTGTCATTGCCAACAAAGGATATATAACAAAGTATTGAGATGAACTTTTGATATTGACCAAATATTTATTTTCCACCATAATTTGCAAATAAATTCTTTCCAAATCAGCCAATGTGATTGTCTGGATTTATTTCTCATTTTGTCTCTCATAGTTGAGGTCTAGCTATGATGCCAATTACAGGCCTCTCTCATCTTTTTAAGTGGGAGAACTTGCACAATTGGTGGCTGACTAAATACTTTTTTTGCCCCACTGTATTGTTGAGCCCATGCAGTGATGTTCATCACAGGATCATGCCTGTTTTAATGCAGTGCCATCTAAGGGCCTGAAGATCCTTGGTATCCGATATTGTGTTTCAGCCTTGTCCCTTGCGCATAGAGATTTCTCCAGATTCTCAGAATCTTTTGATGATAATATGTACTGTAGATGATATATTTAAAGCAGGAGTGGGCAGCCTTTGAGAGGTAGAGATCTATCTGAGCAAACATGGAAGAGATCAAAGATCACCTGGGTGCAGCGCCATTTTTTTCCCTTTGTAGGAAACTTATAAAAATGTAAATAAATGTCACTGTAAATAAAAAAAAGATTTACTGTATATACTTTCGGCTTGCCCCGGTCCGGCCATGTGATCTTCCCCGTGTCAGCCAGCGGCAGCTGCAGTGAAGAGAGTGCTTGACAACGGCTCGTTAAAACCTGAAGCAGTGATGTCAGCCATAGTTTCCCATGTCCCAGCTGTTGTTAGCACTTCCTCTGCTCCCCCACATACGCTGCTGGCTCACACAGGTGAGATAACATGACCAGATTGGAGTGGCCTGAAAATAGGTTAGTCAGTATAGGTTAGAAGGGGGAGGGGCATTTTACAGCTATTTAGGTTTAAGCTGGAATGCTGCTTTAAAAACCACTTTAAGACTGACTAACTTACACTTACTTTCCAGTTTAAAGTGGTATAACAGGATGATGCCTGCAGTTAAAGGCATTATCCCAGTATTGCTTTTCGGGCAGGTGATGCTGCTTTTTGGAAAAGCAATCCTGGTGGCTAATTAGCTGCTGGATTGCTTTTACAGGTGGTGAAAGAGGGTCCCTTCTGCCGCCCTCTGGCGCTTCTCTTTCTGACGGTCAGTGTTATTGCAACTTCAAACTATCCTCCCTATTGGTGGGCAGTAGCAGCAATTAACCCCCTTCTTGTGCTGCATTAGTGACACCAGTTTCGGTGTTAATTACTCCTTTTTGCTACGATAGTAGTTAGTGGCAGTGTTTAACAACCCTCTCCATGCTGCAGCATAAAGGGGTTAATTAACACTGACACTGGTGCCACTAATGCAGCACAAAGGGTTTAATTAACTACCACTGGTCACTGATGCAACCCCTTCATCCTGCACAACTATTAACCCCCTCATCGCACCCTCCTGCCCCCCCACCACCTCTGTAACAAACTTGGTACTTGCATTCACAGTGCCAGCACCATTCCCCCTTCCTCTCCCACCTCCACTCTCTCTCTTTCTCTCCCACCTCCCAATCTCTGAATGGCAGCCAGTCAGAGGCCGGGACTAGAAATCATTTGTCAGGTGGAGATCCCTCACAGAATGTATTGCTT